AACAATAATCAAAGTGTTCCAGAAGGGTAAATGTCTGCGACGAAACCTGCCTGGTTATCTAGATTTGTGATATCATGTCTTAAATGAGGACGTGATGAAATATTACCAACCTTTGACAGTGGGATGGATTGACGAAAGAGTCTGGTCGTGTGTGAAAAATTGTATTAGATGATTACGTTCTTATCAATTGTAGTCGCTGCCTCAGTTTGTTCAAATCTGTACTTTATTATCTTCTGAAACTTAACGTGATTTCACAATTTGAATAGGTAATAACGATCGTTAGAATCTGGTGCAACTCGGCATATGATTGTAGAGAGAAAACCTGTTCTAAACTACAAAGCTAAGGTTTCTGTTTTAATGATCCTACATTTATAACCAATATCTGAATACCTAACACGTTTAAAAAACCTTAAAGCCAAAAAGCCTTTAGGCACTGAATATTCTCAGGTTGGTGTTCCACACTTGTTGGGGAGCTGATAGAAAGGTTTTGCTAAGAATTTATAGCGCTATTATTATCCATGGTGTATGGATCTGCTAGACCTTCATATCTCAAGTTATTAGACACTGTTCAGCACTAGGGTCCGAGGCTCACCCTCAGAGCTTTTAAGACCATACCTTCAGCGAGCCTCTATTCAACGAACGAACCATAACTATATAGCCGTCGAATGTACCATTCAGCTAAAGTCAAATCCTTCAAATCCTGCTTTTTCACTTGTATTTGAACCAAAATATAAAACTTTGTTTCAAAACAAACCAAAGACTATCCCATCATTCGGTATTCGGATTTCTGCTCTTTTACAAAACACAAATATTGATATTGACCAAATTCAATCATTTGGAACGACAGAAATTCCACCCCGGCTCTTGAATTCACCTGAAGTTGACTTTCTCTTCATGAAATGGTTAAATCAGACACTGACAGTTGCACCTTTCGTTCATCCTCTCGAAATTGCAGTTAGAATATAAAACATTTCTACATTATATACTGATGGTTCAAAAGATAATGTAAGGTTGCCTCGGCCATGGTTTCACAAGGTATTGATACCGCCTACCGCAGAACAACGCCTCAATATTCTCGGCAGAAGCGCGAGTTATATACCTCGCCCTTGAATATATTCAAACAAGGTAATGAGAGCTGTTATCTATTCAGACTCTCTTTCTGTACTGCAAAGTCTAAGCAATAGAAATATCGAAAATATTTTCATTCGTAATACATTAATACAATATACAGTCAAACGGTGCAAACAGACAAATATATGCTTGTTAGTGTTACGCCATGAATTAACTTTTCAGATCATTTGGCCATCTGCTGGGTTTCCTGTGGACGTTAATCTAACTTGTTATATCTCCTCGTGTTTCGTTGTTCTAACAGAATTTCCTTTATCAATGCAGTAATTGAAATCCGTAAGTAAATAATCTAAAAGATTCTTACAGCTATTGGATATATCAGATGTTATCTGAACGTGAAGGTAACATTCAGGGGTATTTATTTGTTCTCAAGTATGCATTTCAATGCCAAACAGAGACATACCCAAATAACGGTGATAACGATTACAGCTACATGCACCAGCTACAATTTTTTCAGATTGAATTCCCATATCTTGACCTTAAATCCACTGGGCAAGCCATGCTTGAATGCTCGTGGTAAGTGGTTCAAAATAAAATAGATGTCCGTTTCGAATGAGCCATTCTTTCTATCAAACATCTGTTTGCACCCTTACATTTTACTCATTAACGTGTTGATGTAAAGTTTACATCGTAACCAATTGCTAAATCGATGATGTTAACGATACGGCAGGTTTCAAGTCAACTCCTATATTTCGTCATTATGGTATGAAATCAGAATTAAAATTAAACAGGTCACACAGACCTTTCATTTTTAGATATATTGATGATGACTTGTCTTTAAATAACAAGAAATTTATTGGCTATGTAAGTTTTTCAATTGTGAATTTTCCATTTCTAGATAACAATATTAATGCATCCCCAACTATGGTGTTTACATGTTGCGTTTGCTTCGATCGATAGTCAAGGGCCTGATTTACGGTCGTGATATCTTAGAGGAATATTCCATTTCTTTGTGCGATATGAAGCTGGACGTGTTTGATGCTCGTACGCATGGTAGTTAATGTTGCTCTGCAATAAAAAATCGTACATGAACGTACATGGTAACTCTTTTGGTGTCATTAAATGAACGTTAGGTTTTCTGGCTTTGCTTGATTGTCATCAAGAAAACGTCTCTGATCATCTAAATAATACTTTTTGAGAAGAAACCTATACGATATGTTTGAGCTCGAGAGTACAAGTGTATTTATTACTCTTTACTGCATACTCGAGCTCAATTCATTTTAAAAAATTGAAATGTTTTGCTGGACATGTACTATTACCATTCATTAGAAACGTAAAATTAAACTAATATAATATATATTGAAAAGACAATTAACTGAAGTATATACTAAAACGAAAACAGCAAAATACGTAATTGAAAATAAATTGATAAAGATATTGTTGAATATAAATGGGGAAAAAATCTTTGATCAAAAATTGATTTATTAATTTTTTCACTTTCTGTTCATTGTATTGATAGAAAATTTTAAAATAAGTTTAATATGTTAAATATTTCAGAAAAAATACCTGAAATGACATTAACTTTGCATACATTATTTTTGTCTTAGATGGCACCTATCCTTGAGAACGGAAGTGCAACTTGCATTTCAATAGTTTCCTATGGAAGACTTATTGCTAAAAATGGTATTTTCGATGGCCTTAGTAGAGAATTTGCGAATTCCGAAGGATCTTATGGCGACGTGAATAAAGAACTTTTAATGCAAAAAGGACACACCGATATGAGCAATAATGAAAATGCAGAACAAAAATTATGAAACCATTGATCCAAATTTTGATAAAACGGTGGATTTTGATGGGTGGTAGTGTTTGCATCTTTTATGCACAACTGTCTGTTGGGCGGAGTTACATATTCTTTGGGATGTTCTTTGAGGGCTTCCTGGCATACTTGTGTGGCAATTATGGCAAAACATAAATTATCAGGTCTGTCATCAGTGGACATTTGTATTAGTTGGTGTGTAATATCAATATATGCATGTAAAGCAACAATGAAGATAATTTGTATGGATTTGATGAAAATTTTATGAGAATTTTAGAAAAAGTGATTCAATTCTAGGATGACAAAACATGGTGCTATGGACATAAAGTCATGAGACTCGTAAGCCTTGAAATTGTCACATCGGCGTAAATATCATTTGTTACAATATGCACATCCTGTGAATAGGTCATTAGGCCATCAACAGGTGAAACACACGTCGATCTAAATAGGAAATAACATCAAATAAAAATAAAAGGTTAAAAGACAAGTACTAAATATCTAAAATGGGTATATTATCACAAAAGATCAACATCTTTCAGATAACCTAGAATTTTACAAATCTCAACATGTTCAGAAAAGGACTTTAGACTTTGAACGTTACGATGAAAAAATTCTCGAGTAGACATAAGGTCCAAAAATGTTTAACGGTGAATGGCTTATCACATCCTATGCACCGAGGGTTATCTTCGCCTTTCAACATATATGAATGCGTGAGGTATTTCATTAATATGCACAACATGCTATTACATTTTACCCCTTTAAATGATATAATTGAAGTAGACCACGAAAAGATGTCACGACTATCTGATATTATGTTACATTACATAATAAACTGTACAGTATTCCAGTACTCAAATGTTTTTTGTAGTGCACGAAACATAGATGTGATTTTTTTTCTATCTGTTCAAGATAAAGGTAAGTCTTAAGATGTGTTCTTGGGAAAGGAAAATTATATTTATTGTGCCTGTTTTATATATTCAGCTGTATGCATATCAAGTACGAGAATATATCGAAAATATTTGCATTCGTAAAACATTAATATTGTATCCTGAACCAAGCAAAAACCAATACGAAAGTTAAAGGCAAGTTCATGATATTGTATTCATGTATTACGAATAAAGATATTTTCGATATTTCTATTGCTTAGACTTAGTTCAGACAGGGAGTCTGGATAGATATCAGCTCTCTTTAATTTGTTTGTTTGAATATATTTAAGGGCGTGGTAGATAGTTTCGCTCCAAGAATATTAAGGCGTTGTTCGGTAGCCGGCACCCAGAGCTTTCATGTTGTGTAACCGTGGCCGCGGCAACTTTATCAATTTTTGTGAACGATGAACGAAACGTGAAACTGTCAGTGTCTGGTTTAACCATTTCATGAAGTGAAAAGTCAAATTCAAGTGCCAGGTTGGAGTTTTTATCGTTCCAAATGACTGAATTTGGTCAATATCATCAAGAGTGGAAATCCGAATACTGAATAGTCGAATTGTGTTTGGTTTGTTTTGAAACAAGATTTTATATCTTGGATCAAATACAAGTGAAAAAGCAGGATTTGAAGGATTTGACCTTAGCTGAATGGTGTATTGCAAAGCCAATTTATTTCAACGGCTACATAGTGATTGTTCGTTAGCTTTTACATAGAGACTTGCTGTAGATGTGGTCTTGAAAGCTCCGAGAGCGAGCCTTGGACCTGGTGATCAACAATGTCTAATAATTTGAGAAATGAAGGTCTACCAGATCCATACACAATGGAACCGTAGTCTAATTTTGATCTAATAAGAGCTCTATAAAAAAAAGCCATATTAAAAATGACTTTCATAAACAACGATCAATACTTAATACGCCTATGATCGCAATCTAGTCATAATTACACGAGTTTTCCGTATAATTTTCGATCCGTTATATTAGTCAATTATTTTTCCCAAACCTCACATTAATGTTGGTGCGCTCTGCGTTACATATACTCTACATCTATATATAATCACATATTTTCACCTCTTTGTTTTACATTGTTTTGGTAAATCAAAGTAATTTTGTTCAACATTTAAGTAATGTGGAATTCACAAAACAAATGTAATATAGATATATGTCTGAAATGACAGTAATTCGTTTTCTCTTAGATGGCATCTATCCTGGAGAACGGAAGTGCAACTTACATTTCAATAGTTTCCGATGGAAGACTTATTGCTGCAAATCGTATACTCGATGGCCCTAGTAGAGAATTTGCGAATTGCGAAGGATCTTATGACGACGTGAATAAAGAATTCCAGATTCAAGAGACAGACAATGATGGGAGCAGTAGTGAAATCACAGATCAAAATAATGAAACCATTGGTCCATGTTTTGAAAAAACGGCTTCAGATGGCGGATTGGGATGGATGGTAGCGTTTGCATCTTTCATGAACAACTTTCTGTTGAACGGAGTTATATATTCTTTTGGAATTTTCTTTGAGGACCTTCTGGAATATTTCGGTGGTAGTAAAGGCAAAACACAAATTATCAGCTCTGTCACCAGTGGGACGTCTTTATTAATTGGTATGTAATATCAATATGCATGTAATGCAACAATTGAAATAACTTGTACGAATTTAATGAAATGTGATGAGATCTTTAGAAAGGTGATTCACTCCTATATTGACAAAAAATAATGTTGTGGACATTAAGTAATGAGACTCGTTAGCCTTGAAATTGCCGCGTCGTCATTAACATCGTTACTTCATCGATTTAGGAATTCATTACAACAAACACATCCCATGAATACTGAATAATGAGTAGTTACAGGGAACAACATTATCATACAGGCGAAAGGTAGCAACTTTATCATACAGGCGAAAGAGTTTTGCCTTTATCGCGCATTAAACGTTCTAATAATGAATAATGATTGTGCCAAGGTTAGGAAAATACCTATAGCACAGATGAGGTGACCGGAACGGATTAAAACCATCCCTTAAAGGGGATTATAAACAACCTTCTTTTCACCTGGGCGATGTAGCAGGAACATGTCTTTTACAATTACGAGCTATGGATAATTTTAGGCAACCTTTCGTTCTATCTACAAGTTTAGAAATGTTCGTGATAATGTCTGTTCTTTATAGATATCTTCATAGGTTTAACACATGTTCACAGTCCATTTTACAGTCGTATGATGCCGACTGACCTACTTTACTCTTTTTCCCTCTTCTTTTATTTACGGTGACAATCCTGCTTGCTTTACGATGCACCAGAAAACTGCACCAGTTTCATATTGTTGAAATCGGGAATAACGAATTGTTTATACTAAATACTGTCTAGACGATTATTTCTTCCTTGACCAATGATCAACCTGAGCATCTTAACAAGTTGTTTAAATGTATGTTAGCTAAAATAATTGACATCGAAATTATGCGAATATGGTAACGCGTTTTCTAGTAAGTGGCGATCATTCCCCGATCAGCCAGGTATAAACTGTATTTACGCTATCAAACGATATATTTTTTGTTGTCTTTTATTTGCAGGAAAATGTTGTTAAAGCGTACACCACAACGATACATGTAATGTAGTATATACATCATATCATTTCAATTCAGATACATGTAAGGTAAAAGGTTCGATAGATCGGTTAAAGAAAGTCTTAAACCATGATCGAGGAACAAAAACAAGTTGTAAGTTGATAGTACTTAAATGTGGACATTTGCATCGCGATAACGCTAAGATATTAATATACTCATCTGTTCTTCATTACACAACGACATAAACAAAAATTAAACGGTCATTCTATTCTTAAGTGTACCTGTAATCTGCACTTTCTGTAAATGATTTTTTCGATTCCCAGTACATTCTATCTGACATGCGTATCAAAGTTTGTAAATAACAAATATCGGCAGAGACTTTGTGTTATATGCATCTCTGATATTTTAGCTCTTACCTTCGAATCATTTTGACAAAGGTCTATTAAATGTAGTCAAGCTGAATCCACGGATTGGAAATTGTAAGTTTTACATAAAAGCATTGTAAAAATTGTACACACTTGCTGTCATTAACTTAATTATCTAATTTTGATGGCAATTTGTTATATACAGTGCTTGTTTCGACCCCCAAACTCCCCACCCAAGATTGAAAGTCATATTCTGCAGAACTTTTGAAAACTTGCCATGTTAAAGATGATTTTATTACGAAAAATTATTCATTAGATCAGGATTTCATTCCGAAACGTTCAACACCTAAGCTTCCCCTGCGGATAGGGGTAAGAATATATAAGCTGTGTCCTACAGCAAGTGATAAAAGTCCACTAAAAGGGGCAACCTGTCCCGTTGGCGTCCCGTTAGTACCGGGAGAAAGAATTCTCGTGATAGAGGGACGGTTATGTGGTTCGCGCTATATTCTCAAGCAATTTCGCATAGCCTTCCCTAAATATATCCCTTTGGCCTCAATCTCAGTAAGACGGGTGAACGTTGCGGCACTCAATGATCAATCAACTGGTCATGCCAAGCTCTTTATCAACTTTGTGTCATAAGAGTAAAGTTTTTTTCCCTTTTTGTTTCACTCATCTATTTTGCTAGTTTTATTTTACAGTTGTATCCCACTGTTGAACCTTTCGTTCATCCTTCTCAAAATTGCTGGTTAAACATTAAACATTTCTACATGTATATACTGTTGGTTCGAAAGATAATGATAAGGTTGTTGCGGCCATGGTTAAGAAGAAGCATATAGATACCAGCTACCGAACAACGCTTCAATGTTCTCGGCAGAAGCGCGAACTATCTACCTCGCCCTTGAATATATTTAAAAAAAAAAACAAAGTAATGAGAGCTGTTATCCATTCCAACTCCCTTTCTGTACTACAAATTATAGCATGGAAATATCGAAAATATCTTTATTCTTATACATCAATACTTACCTGGGAATACCAGGCAATGAAAAAACCGATTGTGTCGCTACCACCTGTTGTTTTCAAACTATTTTCAACCATTAATCAAACACGTTTTAATAGCCAAGTGGCAGGAGAAAAGGAATCAATGTACTAAAAATAAATTGCACTCCGTAAATCATCGGTGAATGGTCTCCATGCTTAAGAGACAACCACCGAGAAGAAGTTGTCCTTGCCCGTCTTCGGATGAGCCATATATACCTTACACATACATAACATGTTGAAAGGCGAAGATAATCCTTGGTGCATAAAATATGATGCGCTATTGATCGTTGAACATTCTTTATTGGACTGCATTGACTTTCTGTCTACTCGATAATGTTTTTATCTTAACATTACATGTCTAAAAACCCTTTTTGAAACTGTTTAATTTTTTTGTGATAATATAACCATTCCAGATTTTTAGCATTTTTCTTTTACCTTTTAATTTGTTCGATGTTTTTATTGTTTGGAAGACTGTGTCTTTTACCGGTTGTTGGCCCTAATGACCTTTCATGTGTCGACGTGTCGTAATGATTGTAATACTAATAATAATACTCTGTTTAATTTATTCAATATTGAAATTTACTTTTTCTCAATAACGAGTTTAGTGCAGCTCTAAATCTGTTTGTTGTGGCCGATTTTATTGTTCCTAACTCTCCTTTTGGGCCTCCGTACGTTAGATTTCTAGCGTCACTGTTATCATATAATGTAGGTATTAATAAGGCGTGTACCGTACTGAATTTGTATAAGACTTCTATGGATGTTTAATATTGCTGAATTTATTTTATCTTTACTGAGACTTCCACTCTTGGATATCGCGTAGTTACCCCTAACATTTCATTAACACACAAAAATGTTTTATGTTTTATGTTTTATTTAACTGTTTACTTACTTAATTGTGAACTAAGTCATATCAAAATTATTGTGAAATAGTGATGATATGGTATCACTATCTACTTATAATCAGGTCCATTAGTGGGAGCGATAGCAAGACGGTTCCGGTGTCGGAGGGTAGCTATCGTCGGAGCTATGGTAGCCAGTATCGGACTTTTCCTCTCCACCTTCTCTCCAAACCTTGACGTCATGATTCTGCTATACGGCATTGTTGGTGGTAATTTAAAAAACTCCGTTATTTTCTCACGTAAAATGAGGATATATAATACATATTGTTCAAAGAATGTGGCTTTTCCATTTTTCAACTATTTCAATAAAACATGCCTAAAAGGAATATATGTATTGATCTATAATTAATTTTTATTGTCTTAATCATAAATGAATATGCAAAAAGATGTCATTTCCTAATAATTCTTTCAGGTACAGGGTTTGGACTTGTATATGGACCCTCGACATTTATAGTGAGTTACTACTTCAATAGACGCCGGGCCCTCGCTACAGGGATAGCCGTATGTGGGTCAGGTATTGGAGGATTCGTCTTTCCCCTAATTGGTGTCCTTCTACTGGAGGCGTACGGCTGGAAGGGCGCCATGTGGGTCATCTCCGCCATCGTGTCGAATGGAGTTATATTTGCTGCAGTATACAGACCAATTGAAATGCGAAAAAAGACACCGCTAGGGAGTACAGAATTACAGGGAAGTGATCCGATTGCTCGGAAGAACTCGATGTGTCCTTCCGTGCGTCAAATGTTTCGAATTTCACTGTTGTCAAGTCCTTCAGTGGTTATCTATGCAGTCTCGTGTTGGTTTGTATCATTTGGTACGTGTTACGTTACTTTGGTATATTACTTATTATGATCATAAGCTAAACTTTATGTAAACATGACAGAAGGGTCATCTGAGCGTTAGAAATATGGATACAAATGGAGTATCTATGTTAATGTTACGTTTAATTTAAAGACATCTGAAAGATAATATTTCTTATTTTCAACTTTTCCTTGATATAACGTTAAATATATTAAGTTAATTACATGTAATATTAGATTGTCATGACATCGGAAACTAACAGTATCTCATATATTCATAACGAATCTCGTCAGCCAGCCAGTTACAACAATGTTTGGAAGTTCTCGAGAAGTATGACAGAAAATTCAATTACTAAATACATCTAGCAAAGTTGAAATGAATATGAAATTACTTGTAGATTGACTGTTGTATTATCGATTTGCCACTAGTGGATATCCCCACCTCTAGCGCACCCCAGGTACGGAATTAATGGTCCGTTAGTACCCAAAGTAGAAGAAGACACAGTGTAAACTATTACTATTTGAAGGCAAATGTACAAGGGCACATTCATAATAAACACGAAATGACGTGCACACAATAAAGAAGACCATTGTACTAAGGCAATGATTGGTTCAATTTTGGTTGGTTTGGGGGGAAGCGGATGTCACTGAGCTTGATAAATAACAAAACAATGTGAACTTTATCATGCGTTCTAATGCTGTACTATGTATTTATAATTTGATTGCTACGAAATTAAATTTTCTGAAAATAACAAAATATTTGTTTTATTATCAACTGATGTATTAAAATAAGGTCATATTCCTGCCGTTTGCTAACAGTTTTGAAATTGAAACTGACAAAACTACATAAGGCCTTTAGATAGATTTTATTTCACTTTCCTCGCTTCCGTTATAAAAGTAAAACCAGACTAACGATACCGAAATGAAACTAATTCTATAGTTTTGAAAGTCACTGAATTCACATCTAACAGCAAAACCTTAATTGATCTTTTATAAATCATCATATTCTGGTTTGCTATGAAATAATACTTCTTGTATAGTGACGCGGGATGAACTAAATTTCGAAGTAATTGTCAATCAATTATCCCGGGTCCTTGTGGTCAAACAGAAACATGTAATGTTATGCGGAAGTCTTTCAATCCAGTAGAAGCTAGATAGGTGTATTCGTAATTTTCATAATTTCCGGTTTGGCCTTGACCGCCGCTTCTTTTATCAAACTTCTCCACAAATAATCCCATGACCGAAAGTAAGCACATGGAAAAGGTTTCATGACTTGTTTTCCGACTACGAAGATCGTTGTTTATCCTGTTCAGTTTGGTTTTGATGACACCATGTTCATTACATCTAATAGATACTTTTATCAATGTCTCAGCTTTGCGATTTTGGGGTTTTCTTGAAACGTTGGATTTTGTTCTAAATTAAAATTGATTTTATGAATACGTATTCGCTAACTATGTGTTGTCGTTAGAATTACTTTTGTGGAAGATGGCGACAGCTGACAGATTAGCTCATAACATAAGATTTCAAGAAACGAACGTTGATAAAATTTATGAGGAAGTTTTACGGAGTCGGTGAAAATTCTATTTCCTTATTCGAATTTAGTTGGATATTTTTTGAAAATCGTTAGTTTTTTCTGATGGTTTCTTCACCGCTGACCTTGTTCTCATTATGTTTAAAAACATTAACGTTGACCAAAATATTCATGGCGGGTGTCGTCGATGAAGCAGAAGGCGTTTACACTTCTGGAACATTTGATCTTTATGCAATTTGTATTTGTATTTGATGACATTCTGTTAACATGCCGGTATCTTCTTTGTTAGGATTTTACATCCCGTTCAATTTCCTGCCAGAGTATGCTAAGGAGAAGGACCTCTCAGCTTCTGATGGCGCTCTCCTTCTATCTATCATTGGGATATTCAGCACACTTATGAGGGTTGTAATGGGCCTGTTAGCAGATCGATCCTGGGCGGACTGTATCCTGATCAACGGCGTAGTCGTTGGTTTTGGCGGTGTGGCCACAATCTTCATCCCTTATTACAACTCATTTGCGGTATTAGCTGTTTATTCAGTCGTCTTCGGAACTGCTATTGGTATGTATGCCGATCGTTTTCATACATTGGTAAATAAATTTGTCACAGAGTTAGATTCAATATTTCCATGCTTTCTAGTCGAAGATGAATTTTTCAGTGAATGCCTTGCGTTTTGTTTACAATATTTGATTTATTTGTAGGAACATATATTCCGTTAAGGTCGATAATTTTGATAGAGCTAAAAGGAATTCAAGAACTCCCAGCATCATTTGGTATCATTAGTACGTTTTGTGGGGTTTCTATCTTGCTTGGATCACCTTTAGCAGGTAATAACTGGTTGACACATTTGTAATATGATTGGAGTTTTCTTTCGTCCCATTGTGCCGCAAATAGCAATTAGTTTGCATACGTCCTGTACATTACAAAGAACCTTAAAAATGAAAAAGTAAACACAGAAGAAGAATTGATCATAGAAATGTACGAAACACAAAGTGAATATCAATTTTCAATACAACAGAGCTAATTAATTTATCAAACTGCAAAATGTTGCTTTCTCGTCTATTTAGAGCGTATCAGTGAAGCTAACTGCCTCAATTTTGAAACTTTAGAGGCGATCGAAAAAAAATCAGAATTGATCGGAAGAAATGTAAAAATCTGAATAGGAGGTGGTCTTACTCCATTGTTTCATAAATGTGTCAATTCTTACATGTCTGATGATTATTTCCAAAGAACGTGAAGTACTTGTGACAAAGACAAATCCAGTTGACATCAAGTGCCTTTATCAACTGTCTCTGCTAGCAATATGACTACAATCAAATCAATGTGCATGCCTGTATATTGATGATTGTGCGATACAATGTGTTCTTTTGATCCTTTTCCAATAAAACTTTTAATAGTATTTCGCATGATACATATTAAACATGAAAACTTGATAATTATTCATAATATGAGGTTGATGAAAAGCAAATTTTTAATACAGGTACATCATCAAAGACCATGAAGGTTGATGTTTGTAGTTTATGTTGTTAAACTATGTATGTTGTAGGTTTCCTGTCTGACCTGACCGACGACTTAAGTTCAGTGTTCTACCTGGGTGGTGCTGCGATTGCATTTGGAGGCATTCTATGTCTTCCTCTCCTACGAATTTCGCGATGGGAGATATGCAAGCAACACCAATAAACACATGACTCCATTGGCACAGTAGACACAGATATGTAATAAACTTTTGACATGAATTCATTGTATAGATATTGATAACAAATACATGTAACAGGCACGAGTCAAATGTTACTTTGTCCGTTCATTGGTATAATATGTATCATTTTCAAATCAAAACTAAATTAGTCTAAAACATCATGGAGAGAGGGGAATTATTTCTTAAATGCAGGAAGTTGATCCCCCTAGTTAATATGGATGACCTTTATCCGTTTGAAAGGTCACAGGAATCAAATGTCAATATCTTTAAATGACTTCTCAATAACTAAAAGAAGAAGAATGATGTAATTGGACCTGTAGTATGCTAGGATGAAGGGCTACCAACTTTGTAAATATGAATTACGTTGGCCAATTTTCAAGGTCACAGGTATCAAAGGTGTTAAAATGTTTCAGTGACTTTTTCTCGATAACTTAAATGTCCAGGGTGCTGATATTAGACCAACTTTCAAGGTCACAGGGGTCAAAAGTGTTGAAATGCTTAAGTAACTTTCTCTCAATAACCGAAAGGCCCAGGATGTCTGGTTATAGGACTACCAAAGTTGTTAATATGAATGACATTGACCCACTTTCAAGGTCGCAGGTATAAAATATGTTAAAATGTTTAAATTAATTCTCAATAAAAAAAGGTCCAGGGTGCTGATATTGGACCAGCTTTCAAAGTCGCAGGGTTCAAATTCATTGAAATGCGTAAGTAACTTCTTGCCAATAACCAAAATACCAATGGTCTTGATATTAGGCCTGTAGCTAGCATTATCAACAAGCAATACGTCTGGAGTAATGGAAGTTGTTGTATAGTGCTTGTATCAATAATAAATAATTTCAAGTTTGTAGCAATTGTCTTCTTATGTAAGCTCTAGAGTAGTTGAATAATTTTAGTTTAGGCCTATTTTGCTTCTTTCATATATAGGACTATAAAATGACCATTAAGCCCATGGGCCTCTTGTTTACAATTACCCTACTGCACAGTCAAACACAGATAAGTCGAAGTCGACGGGACAAAATGAAATGTTCGACTTACCCGTGTTTCTATAAACCGAAACATTGTGTATCGAAGATTGACTCTATTTCATCGGTCGTTGAACTAATACGTGTTTCGTCGCATGGAGAAAAAGTTATGGTTAAGTAATAAATTAAAGCGATTTATATTTGAATACATTTAAGATATATTTTATTCAAATGAATAGTTGAAAGTACGAATACACAACAAAAATTGTACCTTGAAACACACGTCATAACAGTACACGCGCAGAAACACACCCACTATTATACACATGAAATTGATACCTCAAGTATTACAAATAGTGTACTCACATTTACATCCTTTACAGTTAAAGTCTCTTCAACATTTTTTTCAATAAAACCTAAAAAACGTACTCATGAACTTTCAACATTGATATAACATCGATAGCACTGAGCTGGGTTACGAAAAGGTGAAGGCCGCGGCAAATTCACTGAAGTGACGTATCATTTTAATCTTTTGTGTTAATATACCTATTTAAGATTTTTAGCATTTGCCTTTTACCTTTTGGTTTGTTATATGTTATTTCCTTTAAGATCGCTGTGTGTTTTACCGTTTGATGGCCCTAATGACCTTTTATGTCCGTAGCATTTAGGGATATCAAATTTGTTAAAATGAATAACCGTGACAATTTTTCAAGGTCACACATTTGAAGAACTTTAATTGACTTCTTCATAAAGAAAAAGTCTTAGGGTGCTGATATTGGGTCTGTGGCATGCTTAGATGAAGGGTTACTAATTCTGTTCAGGTGATTGACCTTGTCCCGTTTTAAAGTCACAGGGTTTATATATGTTAAAATATAATTCTTCTCAGTTACAAAAATGGTCCAGACAGATATTGGTTCTTTAAAATAAGTGGATGACGTGCTACCAAAAGTATACAAACGAATAACCTTGACCTATTTTCATACTCAATGGAGTCAAATGGGTTGAGATCTTAAAGAAATATTTTCCCAACAAGAAACAGGTCTGGAGTCATGGTATTTTTGTAATGGTATGTATAAGGAATAGGATTTCAAGTTTGCAGACATATTTTTATGAATCGACAATGTCGTTGTAAGCAGTAGAGTAGTTGAACAATTTAGACCTATTTATATTTTGTCAATTTCATCAAAGTATCACAGGTTTAATAGGTGTGTATTACGGATGGAGTTTATGTAACTAAGGATATTAGATTTTAAACACTCTTTAATATCTATATGTATATTTAATTATAAGATCTTACAAAAAATGTGAAAAGTTACACATTCACCAAAAACGGAAGATGATGCTTTATAATTGAATAAAATAAATCTACATTTGTAAACAATATTTTTGACCATAGTACACAGAAAAGCAAACAATAAGACGCTGTTAAACGACTAAAGATGAATCTATTGCAGCTGTTTTCCATATGAATATTCGAAACTACTACGTTGGTAACTTAATGTTTTCATAAAATACGTGGGAAAAAATCGTGAAAACGGTAAATGATAATTAAAATCATCAAGGTTCCCGGCAACTAAACTACAACTTTTCTAAACTTTAAATGTTTGATGAAGCAGTAGAAAAAGACCATAGGCGTGTTTGATGGCCATCTGGGAATGTGATATTGCTTGCAGGGGCTTACCAAGATTTACATGGCGGTTGTCGTCGTTGAAGCGGTAGGACGCTTATTCGTGAAACATGGTCTTATTGTTCTTGTACTATTTAAGGATTTTCCATAGCATTTTTCTTTTGTTTTTCTCACCCTGGCGTCTTCGAAATTAGTTTGGATAAAGATTATCATTATATCTATATGTACATGACCAATCTAGAAAATGTGGGGGAAAAAAACAAAACCAAAACACAAACCACGTCTACAGGAGAAATTTTGAACATATATGTTTGTGACATGAATGATGAGAGGAATTAAACATTGATATTTAAATTAGCGTCTTTAATGCATTGTACACATGTAAATATAGTATGTTCATCGGTGCACTGTGGCTATTACTTAGGCTTTATATCAAACCACGATATCATGTCATGCAGTAGACTTAGCATCCCCTATATATATTGTAGGGTCAAATTGCATCTTTGAAATGTAGTACACCTGATGGATAATTGTTCATGTTAATTTAATTGCTTTTTACCTTTCCCAAGGCACTCTGGCAGATTGCTATATATATATATATATATTTTTTTTTTAATTGTTCACGGAATGTGACGAAAGTCCCCGAATAAAATTTTGGATGTTATATTAGCTCCCCTCAAACGTGTAATAGTAAGGGCCATATTTCAACTATGATCCGTGCCATTTAAGTTACTTAGATCTCGTGAATACTTTATTTGCGAACTTATAACTTAAGCAATCGCTGCGAATACATAATTTCACGAACAGTGATTTACAAATGACTTTTAGTTAGCGGATAATGGGTTATTGGGTATATGGACTCCAATTTCGGTAACTGAATCAGCATGGATGTCATCAAGAACTATTTTTACACAAATAATCACGAGGGATTCGATTTTACGTGAAATACAAGAAATTTACAGTATTTTACGTTATCTATTAGTGACTACACTTAAATTTACATACTTTATCTACTTCAAATACGTCAGAACCACTCAGATTTTTATACATTAACTACAGTAGCACGTGGAAAAAACTAAATGTAAACCAGCTGATAATTGATTTCCATTTATAGCTTTGGTGATGTTTTATATATGTATATAAAATCATGTACTTTATAATTGTTAATTTAGGTATGTATGTTTTGAAAGATATAGTTATATTACTGCGGCCATGGTTACAACAGATGAAACCTATGGATGCCTGCTACCGAACAACGCCTCAATATTCTCGGCAGAAGCGCGAGCTATCTACCTCGCCATGCAATATATTCAAACAAAGTAATAAGAGCTGATATCCATTCAGACGCTCTTTCTGTTCTACAAAATCTAAGCAATAGAAATATCGAAAATATTTTCATTCGTTATACCTTAATACTATATTATAAATTTGCTTTTAACTTTCGTATTGCTTTTTGCTGGGTTCTTGGGCACATGGGATTACCAGGCAATGAAAAAGCAGATCGTGTCGCAAAGGAAGCTTTATCGCTACCACCTGTTGTTTTTAAACTTCATTATACCGATTTTAAACCATTAATGAAACAAATTTTAAAAGCTCAGTGACAGGAGGATTGGAATACCTATACCAATAACAAATTGCACTCCGTTATACCCGTTATCGGTGAATGGTCTCCAGGCTATAGAGATAACCACCGAGACGAAGTTGTCCTTGTCCGTCTTCGGATGGGTCATACATACCTTACACATTCATATATGTTTAAAGGCGAAGATAATCCTTGGTGCATAGGATGTGATGAGCCATTCACCGTTAAACATTTTTTATAGGACTGCATTGACCTTCTGTGTACTCGAGAACGTTTTTATCGTACAATTACATGTCTAAAATCCTTTTTGAAACTGTTGAGATTGGTAGAATTCTACATTACCTGAAAGATGTTGGTCTATATAATAGACTATGACGTACCATCTTAATATTTTGTGTTAACATTTAAGATTTTTAACATTTGCCTTTGATCATTTGGTGTGTTTAATGTTATTTCCTTTTGAATCGCTATGTTTTACCGTATGATGACCTTTTAGGTGTTGACGGCCGTTAAGAATGAAATAATAATAATGATAATAACTTATATTACATGTAAGGTATTAAGATAGACAGTCAATGTTCTGTATATGTTAAGTCGAGTGTAACGTTGTTTGTGCAGTTGTGAGAGAAAGATGAGTACATTATAATGTTCATTAGTCTTAGTTAAAAAAATATTTACACACAGTAAAGAATGACGTGCGTGTTTAAAGGAGTATGATTATGTAACTTCAAAGTATGGATCGTGTGAATGATGAGTGGAGAATGAGAGCCCTCCTGTGAGAGGACAAGTCAATGATAAAACAATTGGTGT